CCATAGTGGAGTATAGATGCTACCGTTTGATAATACAGGGATGAGTAGGCAAGAGTTGCCTGTGAGAGCCAGAGCCAGTGGGTCTAACTGTCTCACAGTGTCCATTCGATAGTTATTAATTTCTAAGGGATAAACAAAATCATGGTGGAGAAATCTGACAAGCACCCCATAATCAAATATTCAAAGTGAATATGACCAGATGTGGGGCTGATTGACAGCTCATGTCCCCTGGTATGATGTACTGAGAAATAAACAATGTGTTTCTGTGATAGTCCTGCCAACATGAATAACCTCAATCTAATCATGAAATAAATCCGAATTGAGGGACATTGTACAAATGGCCTGCACTCCTAAAATGTCAGTGTCATACAAAACAGGTCTTCCAGAGCACAGGAGACTAATAAAATATGCTACAACTATGGGCTTAAACTGGACCTAGGATGAAAAGTATTTTTCTTAAAAAAAAAAAAATGAAGCTATTATTGAAATGGCTAGCAAAACCTGGACGTCTTGTAAACCACTGTGTCGTTGTTGGTTTCCTGACCTGGTACCTGTGCTGTCTGTGTTCTTAGGAAATATAGTCTGACGTGTTTAGAGGTAAACAGGTATCATATCTGCAACCTACTCTGAAAGTTCCCCAAAAGTTCTGTGTAAGTATTTATGTAGAGAGGAGGTAGCACACAGCTCAGTGACAAAGGATTAGTTGAGTGTGCGTAAGGCCCTGGGTTTGATCTCCAGCACTGAAGACAGGTAGGAAAGATGGGAGGAGGGAAGGAAAGAAAACATTGGTAACACTGATGTGGTAACATTAACACTGGAGAATCTTGACAGGAGGTTTCTCTGCAAATTACTTTTCTGTTTGTTGTTACTGTTGCTGCTGTTTTGAAATGGAATCTTGAGCCTATGAATTCAAATTATCCTTTTGCCTTAACCTCTGGGTACTGGGATCACAGGTACATGGCACTGTGTCTAGCCTATTTTTCTGTAACTTGCATAGCCTCATTTGGAATGACTTACAAAGAAGTGATGTTCCAGGGGAGTGTATGTTGTTATTGATTACATACCTGCTTGTCCCCATACCTGCTTGTGGCCTGAATGGCTCCTTCCTGCTCCCCACACTTACAGGGTTACACAGATTGCAAACTGGGGCTTCCCAGATGCCCAGGCTACACACAAAGCTTAGGCCAGGTGAGGACAATGGAGAAAGAATCTTACTGTCTGCAAGAAAATGCATGCACAGCTCTCTCAGGCAGAACCGTGTAGGGTCCAGGCTGGGATATCCACCCAGAGACGTGCCTGTGTCCTGTGACATAGCATCTCAAGACTTTCTAGAACACAATGAAAAGAAGAAATGTTTGCCTTACTTCAAAGTGCTTTGAGGCCCCACAAAAAAGCTCACACCCTTAAGGTGGCTCCCAGAGCCCATGTGCATCTGGGAATCTGGTGGATACAATCTGGGTTCCCGGCTTTTACCTGAGCATTTTCTAGTTCCATCCAACTTGCCAGTGTCCTCCATTCCTCCTCCCAGACTTCTGCTTCCTCCATCTTTTCTCCCTTTTCACAGATTCACACTCCACTTCAAGTCAGATTATCCCAATCGGAGTTTCTGTGAATCCTAACATTGTGGCCTAGAGACAAGGCCACAGCACACTGTGGGCCCACAGCTCTCCTCAAACGACCTGGAAACTGCTAATTGTGGAGAGCCCACATTTTCATGTTATACTTGGGCCTGAAAGTTATGCAGCTAGCCCTGAGGGTCAGGGCTGGAAAGTCCAGGCGTCAGGCCTGTGTCCAGCACCATTCTCACGTGGTCTCTGGCTGCTCTTGAAGTCAGGTCTTCTTCTGAGAGCCAGATAGTTGCTCAGCTTAGCTAAAATATGACTGATGGCCCTTAGCAGATTGTTTGATTTCAGCAAATGCAATCACTTCCAATTCTGAGATCCACCCTTCTCCCCGCCTGTCCCACTTAAGATCTACAGAGCAGCAGCTGCTACTGGCCGTCTGCACACTGACGGCTGACTGGCCTGCTGATTGTGAACATCCCGACAATCCAAGTGCTAATGGTATTTACTCAGTGCAGCCGGCTTAGCCCTGATGAACCACGTTTGTTCTCATTTATCACCCTGCAGCCGAGCTCCGTCCTCAATATCCTTCTGTTGACTTTGAGTACACTGGTGTTGCTGGCGTGTAAAGGGCAGGGCAGGCTTCTGACTTCTTAGCATCTCAGATCCCTTTGTAGAATGCCACCTTCCAGCCACCAGGACCTGCCCTCTCTGGGCAGAACTCTGGTCCAAAGCCCACAAGCTAAGAGGGATGGAGCTAGAGTGATACAGCAGAGCTGTCAAGGAATTGGTTAGGCCTCCTTGTGAAGCAAGTCCACTATGATTATAGTCTTGGTGCAACACGTTGTTTAGCATTTTGCTGTTCATTAGACACTCTGTCTCTAATAGGAAGAGGCCCGAGCTCTGATCCCAGGTAAAGAAACCATCCCAGGACTTAGCCAGGTCATCTGCCACTGTTGACAGAGTTTCTCTGACCGTCCTCTGGGCCCGGGCCCTTGCATGTCCTTAGAGTTTGGCCTTGCTATTTGGTCACACACCCACACGCACACCCCGAGCACACAGTGCCGTGAACATTGAAGACCTATAGCTGGGCTGCCTGAAGAGCAGCTCTCTTTCTGAGAGCAGCACAATGCCTGCTCAGGGCTGACTGCAGAAAGCCTCCCTCCTGTTGTGTGTACCTGCCTGCCTAGTCTGAAATCTCCAGCCTGACCTTCCTCTTCTTGTTTCCTTAACCCTTTGCCTTTACCTGGAAGGATGTTTTGTGGAACCCTGAGGTCATGCGATCCCAGGGCTAGGATCCAGAGTTAGTGTGGACACCTTATTTAATTTGGACACATGGAAAGGCTAGGCAGCACACTGGCCCAGGCTGCCAATGCCCATGTCTTGCCACAGGCCCATGTGCCATGCTGAGAAAGCAGATGTATATTACCTGGGACAATTGTTTCAGAATTTCTTGAGAAGTCCTCCAGTTATGTTCTTTCTTCTCTGATTTCCATCCCTGTGTTGGGAACCCGTTCTCCACTACTCTAAGTGGCTATGCTCCCTAGGATGGGTAGCCTGTGGTTGGCATGCATGTCTGTAGGGAGCGCCTGGTTTCTGGCAGCCTGTCTGAGAAGAGAGCCCTTTGTTCTGTTTCTAGTGTGACTTGGAAGGCTCTGACACTTAGCCCTGCTTGATCTACTAAGGCCCTGTAGTTGGTGCTGCAGTAGATTTGCTTGCTGGCTTCAGAGGGCTCATGGGGAAGGGCTGTCTCAGAGGAACTTCATGAGGCTGAGGCAGTGTCGGGCCTCACAGCCCCCCTTCTTTGGGAAGAAGCGTTTGGTGTCAGTGAGTTTCCCAGCATGGCAGTCTTCCCTTCATAGACCCTGTCTGTTGTGGGTGAATGTTCCTTAGCCACATGATGACAGAAACGGCCCTAATTAACTCACACATTGATGAAGCAGCTGCCTGTCTCAAGTAGGGGGAATGGAGGCAGAGAAGAAGCTCCATCCAGCCCCCTGCACAGACTGCCTGCCTGTCTGGAAAGGAGCTGTCAGCCTGCCATCTCCTGAGACATCTTCATCCCCCTCAGCTGCTCTCTATGCTCAAGGGTGGAGTTGCCGTGGGACTGGCTAGCACCCTCTGTACATCCTCTCTGATGGGAGGACGCCAGGACAGACAGTGAAGGAGACTGGTCAGCTAGGTCTGTTCTCCGCCTTGGAGCTGGTTCTGGCAGGAGGGGAAGGGGCAGGCCATGTATGGGGATGGCTTGGACCCTCAGTGTTGCGGTTGTCAGCTTTGGGGGTTACCAGTTGTGTGCTGAATCTCTTCTGAGGGCAGCAGTGTGGCATGTCATCTTTCCTCCTCCTCCTGTATTTGGACCAGGACAGAAGCTTACGGCCTTCCACTTGTCCGTGCTTCCCAGTGCCTGCCACACTGCTGAGGGCACTGTGCTAGGAAACTGGAGTTTGGGAGGGCAGCTGCTTTGGAGGCTTCAGGGAGTCAGCCAGAGACCCATGGAGATTTTGGTGCCCGTTCCTGGCTGCCTGTGTGTGTGACTGTCTGTCCTCTGGCCTGACTCTTCTGTTTATCTAGCAACTCGTGGGCCTTTGAGTGGAAGACCCTTGAGTTTGCCTAAGAACATAACCCTATAGGTCTCTGTCCTGGGCCATGGTGCATGTGTACAATCCCAGCATTCAAGAGTCTGAGACAGGAGGACTGCAGTGAAGTTGAGGTTAGTTTGGACTTCAAGGCCAGTCTGGACTACAGAGTGAGTTCTAAGACAGCCAGGGCTCTGTGTAGAGACCCTGTCTTGAAAGGAAGGGAAGAATGTGAAAGGAGCTTTATCCGGGCTTCCCAGCATGTCCCCTGTCTGCACCCTCCTTCTGACCAGGAGGGCTGAGATAGAAATGTTTTTTAAGGATTTATTTTTTAAGTGTATGTGTATTTATGTATATGTGCATTTATGCACAAATGCCTGTATGTGTATGATATGTTCTAATGTCTTTTTGTGTCTATGTGTCTAGCATGCATGAGTGCTGAGTGGGGAGGGGGTGGGCTCCTGGTCCAGCTCTGTATCTAGAGAGGTCAGAGCGTTAGAGCTCTCCCTGGTGTATGACTGCCTAGGATCATGGAAGATGGAGCTCCCAACAGTGGCTTTACATGGAGGGGAGATCACAGTAGTGCCTCTAGATGTGGTTTCAATTTCAGAATGGCCTGACGGTGGTAGGATTGATTTCTCTCCTGGAGCTCCTCAGTCTGTTGACTTCTAGGGAGCAGCAGGCTGGCATGCGGCCATTGGCTCTCTCATCTCTGCTATAGGCCTTTGTACCCAGGGTACACATTTATCTCTCTTTTCCCGGATGAGTAAGAACCACCCCTGTGCTGGTCGGTGTGCTGTTAGCTCCCTGGATCCTGGGCCCTGCAGAGTGTCACCAGTTGTCATGCTTCTTCCCGCAGCAATCCAAAGGTCCAGGTGGAAGCCATTGAAGGCGGAGCTCTGCAGAAGCTGCTGGTCATCCTGGCCACAGAGCAGCCTCTCCCTGTGAAGAAGAAGGCAAGTCTGCTCCTTGCCCTTGTCTGGTGTCCGGCATAGCTGCTGGGCCTGAAGGGGAAAGGCTCCTTCCAACACACACCACACACAAGGTCCTGAACACAGTTCACTGCCATTGCAGAGAGCTCACACCAGCTAACGCCAGTGTCATCTGGAGCTCAAGTACAGCTGCAGCTCAGTGACCTTGTGTCCCCATCCCCCAGTCTCCTGAGCCATGCTGTTGCCCATTTGCCTGCTTAGTTTTGTTGAAGTTATCTGAAGTCCCCAGGCTTTCATCATCTTGAGTCCCAGGGTACACATAGACCCAAGGGAATAAAGGAGCCAGGAAGAATGGGGGCTGGGCTGGGTCACTGGGATGACCTCAGCTGCTTGTTCTGTGCCTTACAGCTGGTACAGATGTGTGTGGCCCTCACTTACCCATGGTGTGTGCCCCCAGGTCCTGTTTGCACTGTGCTCCTTGCTGCGCCACTTCCCCTATGCCCAGCAGCAGTTCCTGAAGCTTGGGGGGCTGCAGGTCCTCAGGAGCCTGGTGCAAGAGAAGAGTGAGAAGGTACTGGCCGTGCGTGTGGTCACCCTGCTCTATGACCTGGTCACCGAGAAGGTGAGTGCCACACCTGCTCTGCTTTCTCTTTACTTTGTGTTTGTTTCTGCCATTTGACCAATGTGCCCCTTAGGCTCTGTCCAGCTGAGTGGATGGACAGGTGAGTGGACATGTATAAAGAAGGACATGACACCTCGGCTGGAACCTGAGGGCTGCTGAGGACGGGAGGAGGTGCTAGTGATGGGTCATGCCAAGTGTGCAGGCAGTCAGGCGTGGTGAGGAGGGCGTGAGGGGGACAGTGCAGTGGAGCTTGGGAGCCATGCAGCAACCAGGGGACCACAGAGCCAGGCTGGGCTGGTACCAATTCTAGGATTCTAGAAACCTGGGCACACTTCCTTTGGGAACTCTGGCTCTGAGCAGGGGCTTGGGATGGACCTCAATGGTTTGCTATCTGGGAAGACTTGGTCTCCCGTCCGCTTTGGTCTTTGCAAGCCCAAAAAAGCATCTTGAGGAGAGAGAAGCAGGCCTGGCTTTCTTAGCCTCTGTAGAGGCTTGTCCTTAGCTCTGTGTGGATTGCTGTCTGGTGGAACAGAGCTGGCTAGTCCTGAGCTTGTGGTACACCATTGGAAGCCACACACACACACACCGTCCCCACCCTGTCTTCCCTCTAGACAGTGAGTGGGTCTCTCTCTGTCTCTACTTCTCTCTCTTCTGCTTAATTCCTCTCATACTCATTGTGTGTCTTTGTCCATCAGAGACACTGGAATCTAGTTTCTGCTCAGAGCCAGGTAATAAGACGCAGGCACATTTGGTGTCATGAGAGGAGAGTCGGCAGGCCCAGGAAAGCTTGCCCATTGTCATTGCCGGGAAAGGACATACCTGTCTCTCCTCTGTAAAAGCTATGGGCTCAGCCATTCTCCTCCATGAAGGATAGTGATGACTTTGGACCAGAGAGCCTTAGGATTTCACGTAATCCCTTTCCGTGTTTTTTGACACAGGGTCTTCTGTGACCCAGGTTGGCCTCCAAGTTTCTGTGCAGCCAGGGTAACCTGTAACTATAACTTCTATTCTCCTGTAGCAATTGTTGTCTCCGAGGTTTGCTGCCTCCCTGACTGCTAACCTAAACCTAGTTCTGGAAGCTTCTATCCTCCGTACAATCATCATTATCTACGCCTGTGATGATTTCAGTCTCTGAGACTCACTGCTGAATAAGTTCACCGTTTCTTGATCTTTCTAAACTCTGGCTGGCTGCTTCAGCTCAGCTGTTCTGTCTCAAACTTCCTCTCCAAGCTGACTGATTCAATCTGGCTTCTCTCTTGGCCTCTGATTGAATTGTTCTGCTTGGCCTCATATTAACTTTGGCAATCTGTCTAATCTTCTGGCTTCTTATTCCCTGGTTTGTTCTGCCTTCACCTGTGTCTAGCTTGTTCTCTCTCTGCAACCTGTCTCTCTATCACTGTCCCAGTGAAACTGTTTTCTCCTTCTCCCCACCCCCTCCCGTTCCTCATGAGTGTTGGCCACCTTCTATTCTGTCAACTTTTCTCTGATTTGTCACTTTGTCTGCCACTCAATTAGAGATGACTTGCAAACACGGCAAACATGGCTGCTTCCTTCTACAGCCTAACTTGACCTTTATTGTTTTGCATTAAAGCTGTGTACTGAGGGTGCACAGCTCTCTGTTCTTTGCAGAGGATTAAAGGTGTGTGCTAAGGGTGTGTCTCTGTTCTTTGCAGAGGATTAAAGGTGTGTGCTAAGGGTGTGTCTCTGTTCTTTGCAGAGGGGTTAAAGGTGTGTGCTAAGGGTGTGTCTCTGTTCTTTGCAGAGGATTAAAGGTGTGTGCTAAGGGTGTGTCTCTGTTCTTTGCAGAGGGGTTAAAGGTGTGTGCTAAGGGTGTGTCTCTGTTCTTTGCAGAGGATTAAAGGTGTGTGCTAAGGGTGTGTCT